TATATATGAGAGATACTGTAAAATCTAGAATAAAGAATAAACAACAGAAAATTCTCATAATCCTACATCCAGTTTATAGCTTCGTGAACCTGAAAATGATTTTACCCCCTGGCAGCCCCTTCCGCTTGTTTTCTAAGAAGAATCCAAGAGGATGGAGCGATGGCTCAGTGACTAAGAGTGTTTGCTACTCCTACAAAGGGCCTAGGCTCAGTTGTGAGCACCTGCACCAGGCAGTACCACATCACAACCATCTGTAACTGCAGTCCGGGGATCTGACGTCCTCCAGCTTCCTCAGGCACCTGAATGCACAAGAACCTCATTCAGGAACACAAACATATGCCTAAAAATAAATAGGTAAATACATTTTAGAACAAAGTAAAAGGGATTTATTAAATTAGGACATTATTTTGGGTGCGTATTACTTTGAATAAAATGTGAGTATATGTCAAAACAAAGCACTATCTTTATGTCAAAGGTTGTTTTTTTTCCCCTCTAAGGATCCAGAGAGTAAATATGTTAGTCTTTAAGGCCATGTAGTTTCTGCCAAAACTACCCATTGCTTCCGGTGTAGCCCGAGTGCATCTCCAGAGGTGTGCAGGGGAGTGGGCGTGGCTGTGTACCGATAAAGCTCGATTTACAGAAACAGAGTGGGTCAGGGTTTCCTGATGACTGCTTCCTTGTCTGCAAAATAATAATAATAATAATAATAATAATAATAATAATAATGACCTTAAATTCTCTGTTTTCTATACTTAGATATTTTTTAGCAGATCATTTTATGGTTTATTTGTATAATCAAGGATCGATAAATTATCATGCTTCAGCTAGTCCGGTAAGATTTAAGTTATTTTATTCATTTTAAGAAAACTTAAAAAAATAATCAAATAAATGCTTTCCCAATACAGAAGGGTCAGCTCTCAGTATCCACAGTGGATATAGTGAAGGTATTTGTTGCTTAATTATTAGTCTTTCCTGAAGTCTTGGTAAAGTTAAACTGGATTGACTGTACCTTTCAGTTGACCTAGAATATGTGGACAATATCTGTCTATAGACCATTTCTTCATCTTTGCTTTCCTGAGTAAGTGAATACAAACTAAAGTACATTAGGAATATTATTGGGCAGGGCGTGATGGTGCACACCATTAATCCCAGCACTTGGGAGGCAGAGGCAGGCAGAGCTCTATGAGTTCAAGGCCAGCCTGGTCTACATAGTGAGAGTTCCATGCTAGCTGGGGCTACAGGGAGACCCTGTCTCAAAAAAAAAAAGATTACAGATCAAAACCATTTCTTTCCATTGCACCAGTGGAAACAGACATTTCTGCCCACACGTCAGTCCTATTGCGTTCTATGCAAATGAATCATCCCTTTGTTAAGCTTGATGTTCAAGCCCGAGGAATTTAATACTTGATTTACACTTAGAAAAATTATTTTAAAATATTTAAATATGGTTGTGTACTTTCTGTTTTCAGTATTCCTTCAGTTTTGACTTTATGTTTTTGTTGAGACAGGATCTCATTAGGTAGACATGGTTGGCTTGGAGCTCACTATGTAGACCAGGCTGGCCTCTAACTCTAATCTGTCTGCCTCTGCTCATGAGAGCTGGGATTAAAGGTGTGTGCCGCCATGCCTGGCAGCTTTGAACTTTGAGAAGCATGTAGTTTCGGGAAGCTGGATAACTTTAGTGTCAGCTTGAAAAAACTGGGTTGAGAGACCCTCAATTGGGGAATTTCCTCCATTGGACTGGCCTGTGGCCATGTCTGTGGGGCATCTTCTTGATTATTGAGTGATGTGGAAGGGCCCAGTTCACTGTGTGTGCCATCCCTGGGAAGGTGAGCCATGTTGTATAAGGTTCAGGGGCTGGTGAGATGGCTCAGTGGTTGAGAGCACAGAGGACCCTGGTTTGATTCTCAGCACCCACATGGCAGCTGGCAACTGTCGGTAACTTTAGTTCCAAGGGAATCTGAAGCCCTCTTCTGACCTCCACTGGCATTGCATGACATGGGTGCACTTGCATGCAGGCAATACACTCATAGGCATAAAATAAAAATAATAAAATATTAAAAAATGAAAAAGAAAGCAGGCTGAGCAGGGGCCAGGGAGCAAGTCAGTAAGCAGTGATCCTTCATGGCCTGTGCTCTAGGTCCTGTCTCCAGGTTCCTGCCCTGAGTTCCTACCTTGGGGTCCCTGATGAGCTGTGACCTGGGAGATATAAGATAAAATAAGCCCTTTCCCCCCCAAGTTGGTAGTGGTCAGAGTGTTTTGTCACAGCAATGGAGAGACAAGCTAGAACAGAGTATTTGTATCTTCCTGCCATCACCACAGGCCCCTCTTCCTCTCCTGCTTCTGTCATTACGGGTGTGTTCAGTGGTAGCCTGCCTTCCGAGTCATTTTAGTTATTGTTGGCCTGGTACCTGGCTCTTCAGTCTTCCCAGGTCATTAGTACTGTTGGATGCTTCCTTTCAGCAGCATACTATAACTGTAAGGAGTCCCAGGCCTTCGGTATTTGTGTTTTTATTAATGGTTTAAATTTATATTTTGGAAAATAATTTCACCTAAGAAATAAGCTAACCCATTGGGTTTTTTTTTTTTTTTTTTTTTCAGTCTTTTTGAAGCAGGGTCTCCCTGTAACCCCCACTGTCCTGGAACTCACTATGTAGACCAGGCTGGCCTTGAACTCTCAGAGATCCGCTTGCCTCTGCCTCCCGAGTGCTGGGACTACAGGCCCGGCTGACAAGCTAACCCATTGGAAGCAGAGTATGAAATGGTAATCCTGACCAGAGCGAGCGTGACATCTAATGTGCCTTTCTTTGTGATTTCATGCGTGCTTATGTCAGTCATGTAGTCGTGAACTAGACTGCGGTCTGGCAGCTGTAGGAAACCGTGAGGAGTTTGGTCAGCTCTTTGTGACCAGTCTGTGTTCCTCTCCGCTAGGCTCAGTGCTACTACCAAGGCTACGTGGAAGGTTACCCCAACTCTGTTGTCACACTCAGCACCTGCTCCGGACTGAGGTGAATCACTTCCTCCTGTTGTTGACAGACTGGCCTGGCTGGGATACTCCACTGTAGTGAGTTGACTCCATGTGAGCTGGACGAGGTCCCCGCCCCACGTGGCCCACCAGGGCGGCCCTCCTCCACAGGGCTCCAGCTGCTTGACATGTCTTACTTTCTAACTTCCTGAGGGTCTCCACTTCCTAGGATCCTGGCTGTTATTTCTTCTTCCTTCTGTAATTTTGAGAAATTGAATATTCCCGATTTTGAACAAAGCAGTTTGATGGCATTCAGATCCTCTCCTCCATCAGCACCTCCCCCACTGCCCCCACCAATTTAATGTGTTCTCTCATATGCATAACATGGCCTACGACAACTGGGTGTTGTATATTGGAGGATGGAAGTTGAGGACGGCGTTTTCCCCCACAATAGTGTAATTACATTCCCAACCATGTAGCTTAGCTTCTAGAGCCTTAAAAAAGACAAGTGAAACTTGAGGCAAGTTATAGTTAATTATTAAGTCAATACTCGTTTTTGTTTTTGCAATACTACTTTCTGTAACTGGAAGAATCATTTGGTTTCTTCCTTTGTGCGTTAGAGATGTTTCCAGTTTTTTCAGGAAATCCTCCACCTTTGTTTAGTGGTGTAGATCTCTGTTTTCCCAAAATGTTTTTCAGACCTTCCTACACAGAATCCTTCAACCTAACCTGACGTTTGTTTTTCATGTCGTGACTTGACCGGCTGCCTCCAGGATAGAGCTCTCTCATGCTCTTGACTTCTTATCCAAACTGCATCCTAACCAAAATTATCAATATCATTTCAAAATCACTGCCAAACTTAATTTATATAATAAAGTAGCTGATATTTATCAGTTTCCCTCCCTCCCTCTCCCCCGCCCTGGTTCTCTTTTGGTTTGCCTGTTGTCCCAGCTGTCCTGGAACTTACTATGTAGACAGACAGACCAGGCCTCAGTGTCACAGAGATCCACTTGCCTCTGCCTTCCGAGTGCAGGAATTAAAGACTTGAGCCACCGTGCCCAGGTTTTAATTTTTATTTTGAAAAGCTTTAAAAGCCGTGCAATCATATCTTGAAAGCATTGACAGCTTGATAGAAACGCATCAAGATTTCATTTTTGTGATGGGGAAATACTTTTTCTGTTCAGAGTCATCTTTGAGATAGATTTTGGAACAAAATACTAAATAGAAAATATTCCACATACTGTTTCTTTTGGATTTTGTCGATGTTTCGTGATATGGATTTGATTAAAAACACTTAAAAATTGATGCTTAATTTTGCAGAGGAATACTGCAATTTGAAAATGTTTCTTATGGAATCGAGCCCCTGGAATCTGCAATTATATTTCAACATATTGTTTATAAACTAGGGAATGAAGACAATGCACTAGCAAATCTTAACAAAAACAGCAGAAGCATCGCAGACCCTCCGCTGGACTATGGCATTTTAATAGACGGAAGGGTGAGTTCTTACGCTTCATTGCTTTAAAGCGCTGTGGCTTCTGGTTTGCTGGGGAAGCAGGTGAGCCTAAGGCAGCGGCCGGACCCCTGCAGCCCAGCCAAGGCCTGGAGCCGCCGCCTCTCCTCCTCCCGGTCCTGGCCTTCTTCTCCTCTCTGTATTCCGGTTCTTGGCTCTTTCGTTACCTTCGTATTGGCATCAATTACATTGTAAGTACCGTGACCACGTCCCCCAGCACCGTCCCGTGCGGCCGCTAACGGAGTGCACACCCCGGTGGCTGCAGCCCTGAGCACTTACATCTTCGAGTTAGGTTTGTGTCATCTGCGGAGCCGCACAGGCTGCTGCCATGGTGACGGATGGATGCCTTGGTCGCGGTTTGTGGATGAGCCCGGCCAGGGCGTCCTGGAGTGCTTGGGGCCCGGCGGTGACGGCCTGCGGGGCTCGGCCCTCATCCTTCTGCCAACAGCCTTACATGGGGCAGGGCAGAGGCAGACTTCTAAGGGGAAGGGCCTGCCCGCTGTGTGGAAGTGATCTGGCAGGTAGTGTAGACAGGCCAGAGGCCAGGAGGGTGGCCAGGCGGCTCCGGCGCCCTGATCGCGGCAGCAGGCTTCTTTCTTCAGGAGGATGTCCCTCCTTTGAGGCTGACGTCTGAGAATATTCTCAGCATCTTCGTGGCTACATTAGAAGCTTTTGAAAGGACTCTTGAACATTCAAAGATTAAGTATTTTTTAAATTTCAAAGCAACTTTTAAAGTAATGTGATATATGAAAACCTAAAAAATTACACATACCATAATTTTTGTTGTTGCTGTTTTGAGACAGGGTCTCTCTCTAGCCCCAGCTGGCTTGGAACTCGCTATGTAGACTAGGCTGGCCTCAATGGCATTGAGATCCACTGGCCTCCCAAGTGCTGGCGTTGAAGTTGTGTGTGTGCCAGCACACCTGGCTGAGAACCGTAAATTCTGATGCCAAGCGCACGTGCATGTAGGGTTTGAATCAGTCTTAACACATCAGTCTTTTCAAACATTTACCTTTTTTAAAAAATAAAAACATTGTAATTCTTTCTTCTAGGTGTCTGAATATGGACTAGGTCATACCTGTTCACCCTGCTGAGCTGCTGTACACCACAGCACCGTCTGTCGGTTAAGTGCAATGCAGTGCACACTCACCCACCTTTCCTTTCAGTTCTTTGTCTACAACTTCATTCGGCATTTGGAGCACATTTCAAACAGTTAATTTATGGGCGGTGTTGAGTGAATCCAGTGTCTGAACTTTCTTACAGTCTGTTTCCATTTTCCCTGGGGAGTGGGCTTACATTCTTGTTTCTTTTCTAAAAAACTAATCAGAAATTCATTAATTTTCAGGTTTGCATGAAAAATAGTGGGTTTCCCGAGGGCACCTTTGGCCGTGCCAGTCACTGTGCTTCGGTCTCATTGTCGTTTGGTCCTCCCATCCCTGAGTCCCCCCAAGCCCTTCCCTTCTGCTTTCTTACTGTCCAGATGAGCCTGCTTTCCTCCTGTCATCTTCCTCCTCTGGCCTCTTTACACTTTCCAGGTTTTTGTTGATGTTGTAATTGGACATATTGAGTATTTTGCTGCAACATTGCTGGAATCAACTTCCTCTTCTAATTCCCACCAGCCTTTGCTGCTGCTGGCTGTGGGTGGTAGCTGTTTGTTTAGCGACTTTTCTAAAATATTTTTGCATTGAATATTGTTTGTTTAGTGGTCATGTACTGGCTTGATTGACAATTCCTTAAATACCTGGAGTTTTCCTCTGTCACCTTGGAAAAAAAATCCTCATAGTTTCATAGATGGACTGTTTGGGTAACCCACAACCGCGATTTGAGTTATTTAGGGCTCTGCGTTGCCTCTCATACCCATTTGCACTGTGTCACAAGGTCAGCTGGTTGAGAAAGCTGTTTCTTCTCAAGGACTTTCTCAGCCTGTGTGCAGTTTTGGGCATATTTAGGCCTTGATTCTCTCTTTCTTTCTCTCTCTCTCTCTCTCTCTCTCTCTCTCGATTCCCAAGGCCTTTCCATTGTCTTCACAGCCCTCCCCTTATCCCTTGCTTGACGTAGCAGCAGCAGCTAATGTATTCCTTGATATGTTTTTTCAAAAACGCCAGCCACAAGTCCACACTCGACTCTGTAAATTCCAGGTGGAGGAATCAAAAAGCCCTTGGGAAAGCTGTGCAGGGAGACAAGGCACCCGACAGCTCAAAGCACAGCCGTAATTCTCAGAGAACATCTTTATATTGCCACTGGGACTAGCAAGTGCCACTGCTAACATGGGCCACCATATTTTCTCAGCCTTCAATATCCGTATCATGTGATGTTCAGATCAAGTGGATGGTTAAAAGTACTAGGTGTTTTGTTCTTAGTTCCCAATTTGGAAGCGATAGATTAATTCATAACCATTGTTCTTATTACTAAATTCCATGTTATAAACTTAAAACACTAGACATTAACTTTCACCAACCATGCAAACCCACTGTTCCACTGATAGCTTAACAAAGATTTCAGCATACATGAATTATGAAACATTTAACTTTTGTGTGTGGTGTTCTTTTTTCTAGTCAGAACAACCTTTGCCAGTTTTATACCCTCTCTTTATAGAGATGAGCATTGTGGTGGACAAAGATTTGGTAAGTGTTTTGTTTGATTTTTTACATTTAAATATTTGGTATGGAAATGTATAAATTCCATGGCTAGTAACAACCAGAAAGCTCCAGTCTTCTTTTTTTTCCTGTCTTATTTTTATTTTTGTATTTTTAAAATTTATTTTTTATTATGTTTTTATTACTTCAAAGAGGCAATTTTTAACACATTCTTTCAGAAATAACTTGAAGCAGGTTACATAAAAATATATGTACAGTGAAGTTTTTTAAACTATTTTATTATTTATTTTTTTATTTCATGAGTGTATTGCCTGCGTGTATGTGAGTGCACCCGTGTCATGCAATGCTGTGGAGGTTGGAAGAGGGCTTCGGATTCCCCCAGAACTGGAGTTAAGGATGGTTCGTAGCCGCCAAGCGGGTGCTGGGAATCGAACCTGGGTCCTCTGCAAGAGCAGTCAGTGCTCTCAACTGCTGAGGGGGAAACAGGAATAAGAAATCGAGCACCAAAGGATTTGCCAATGTGGTATAAACTTGTCAACTTGGTGAGTAATGAAGGTTTCCATCAGCTCTTTAAAAAACCCTAATGAGTTTGTAGGGTTTCCGAACAGAGCATAGGGTGGGGGTTTATGTCTGGATACGTACTCACTTATCAGGGTTTGGTGCTAGGATCCGCATATGAGGGAGAACATATGTCTTTTTTTTTTTTCTGAGTCTGTGTTACTTCACTTAGTATAACAGTTTCTAGATCCATCCATTTACCTGCAAATTTCATGATTTCATCTTTCTTTACTGCTGAGTAAAACTCCATTGTATAAATGAACACCATTTTCATTATCCACTCTTCAGTTGAGGGATACTTAGGTTGCTTCCAACTCTTAGCTTTTGTGAAAATAGCAGCAACAAACATGGTTGTACAAGTATCTCTGAAATAGGATGAGTCCTTTGGGTATATGCCAAGGAGCAGTATAACCGGGTCATATGGTAGGTTCACTTTTAGTTTTTTAAGAGTTCTCCACGCTGTTTTCCATAGAGGCTGCACGAGTTTGCAATCCCACCAGCAGTGAATGAGCATTCCCCTTTCTCTAAATCTTCGCCAGCATTTGGTATTATTTGTTCTCTTGATCCTACTCTGATTGGGATAAGGTGATACATTAGGGTGGTTTTAATTTGCATTTCCCTAATTATTAATGATGTTGAACACTTTTTGAGATGTTTCTTAGCCATCTTTATTTCTTCCTTTGAGAACTCTCGGTTTAGATCTTTAGCCCATCTTTTCATTGGGTTGTTTTCTTGGTTCTTTGGTTTCTGAGTTCTTTATAGATTCTGGATGTTAAAACTTTGTCAGATGTGTCACTGGTGAAGATTTTTTCACACTCTGTGGGTTTCTTTTCACTTTCTTGATTGTTTTGTTGTACAGAAGTTTTTTGTTTAATGAGGTCCCACTTGTTGATTGTTGACCTTAATTCCTGAGCAACTTGTGTCTGATTTAGAAAGTCCTTTCCTACACCTATATCTTATAGGTTACTGCCAGTGTTTTCTTCTAATAGTTTCAAAGTTTTGAGTTTCACATTGAGGTCTTTGATCCATTTGGAGTTGACTTTTGTGAGAGGGGAAAGATAAGGATCTAGTTTCATCCTATAGGTGAAGATCCAGTTTTGCCAGCACCATGCGTTGAAGATGCTATCTGTCCTCCACTATGTGTTCTTGGCACCTTTGTCAAATATCAGGTGGCTGGAATTGTATGTACTGGGGTTTGGATCTTCAATGATGTTCAATTGATCTATGTTTCTATTTTTGTGCCAGTACCATGCTGTTTTCATGATGATAGCTTTGTAGTACACTTTGAGATCTGGCATAGTAATCCCCCCAACTTTGCTCTTTGTGCTTAGGGTTGCTTTGGCTATCTGGGGTCTTTTGTGCTTCCACACAAATTTAAGGATTTTTTTTCTAATTCTGTGAAGTATGTCATGGGGCTTTTTATTGGGATTTCATTTGTAGGATGGTTATCTTCACAATATTAATTTTTCCAATCCATGAGCATAGGAGGTCCTTCTATCTTCTGGTGTCTTCCTCAATCTCTTTCTTTAAGGATTTAAAATTTTCATTGTAGAGCTCTTTAATGTCTTTGGTCAAGTTTATTATTTATTTATTTATTTATTTATTTATTTATTTATTTATTTATTTATTATTTGAGGCTATTGTGAATGGGAAATTTTCCCTGTACTCATTCTCCAATTGCTTGTTATTGGTGTATAGAAAGACTATCAATTTTTGTAGATTAACCTTGTAACCTGCCACCTTACTGAAAGTATTTATCAGTTCTAGTTTTCTGGTAGAATTTTAGGATCTCTTAGGTATACTATCATGTCATCTGCAAATAGGGATAGTTTGATCTTTTCTTTTTCAATTAATTTCTTTCCTTTTTCTTTAATTTCCTTCTCTTGTCTTATTGCTCTAGCAAGAGTTTCAAGCACTATATTGAAAAGGAGTGGAGATAGTGGATATCGTTGTCTGGTTCCTGATTTTAATGGGAATGCCTCCAGCTTTTTTCCATTTAGAATGATGTTGGCTGTGTGTTTGTTGTATATAGCTTTAATTATGTTGACGTATGTTCCCTCCAGTCCAATTCCCTTTAAAACTTTTATCATGAATGCATGCTGAATTTTCTCGAAAACCTTTCTGCATCTATTGAGATAATGATGTGGTTTTTGTCTTTGAGTCCATTTATATGATTGATGATGTTTATTGATTTGAATATATTGAATCATTCTTGCATCTCTAGAATGAAGTCAACTTGATCATGGTGAATGATCTTTTTGATGTACATCTGTATGTGGTTTGCAAGTATTTTGTTGAGAAGTTTTGCATTCATGTTCATTAAGGATATGGCTCTATGGCTTTCTTTTTTGGATGTATCTTTACTTGGTTTGGGTATTAGAGTGATGCTGACTTCATAGAAGGAATTTGGGAGAAGGCCTGGGCTGTTTTTAGTTGGGAGGTTTTGTATTACTGTTTCAATTTCCTTCTATGTTATGGGTCTGTTTAAGCTGTTGATCTGTTCTTTGTTTAACTTTGGTGGTTCCCATGATTTTAGATAGCCATCCATTTCTTGTATGTTTTCAAGTTTAATAGAGTATTGGTTTTTAAAGTATTTCCTCATAATGTTCTGGATCTTTTTGGTGTCTGTTGTGATGTTTCCCCTTTCGTCTCTGATTTTGTTGATTTGGATTTGCTCTTTCTTTCTTTTGGTTAACTGGGCTAAGGGTCTGTCTATCTTGTTTAACTTTTCAAAGAACCAGTTCTTAGATTCATTGATTCTTTGTATTGTTTTCTTTGCTTCCTTTTCATTAAATTTCTGCTCTGATTTTTGTTATTTCTTCTCTTCTGCTGGGTTTGGGTCTTATTTGCTCTTTCCTTTCCAGAGTCTTTAGTTGCAATGTTAAGTCATTTATTTGTGCTCATTCTTATTTTCTAATGTAGGCACTTAGAGCTATAAACTTTCCCCTTAGGACTGCTTTTAAAGTGTCCCAGAGGTTTTGTTGTTGTATTGTCTTTTTTGTTTAATTCCAGGAACATTTTTATTTCTTTCTTAATTTCTCCTTTGATCCACTCATCATTCAGGAGTATGTTGTTTAATCTCCATGAGTTCATGTAGTGACTAAAACTTTTTCCAGTGTTGATTTAAAGCTTTACTGAATTGTGGTCTGATAGAATGTGTGGAATTATTTTAGTTTTTTGGTAGTTGTTGAGTTTTGTTTTGTGTCCCAGTATATGGTCAATTTTGAGAAAGTTCCATGGGGTGCTGAATAGAAAGTGTATTCTTTGGTGCTTGATTGGAATATTTGGTAGATGTCTATTAGGTCCATTTGCTATATGGTATAATTTAATTCAGACATCTATCTCTTTATTCTTTGTCCAGTTGACCTGTCTACTGGAGACAGTGGGGTACTGAAGTCCCCTACTGTTACTGAGTTGGGGTTAGTCTGTATCTTAAAGTCCTGTAGTGTTGTTTTTATGAATTTTGGAGCATCAGAGTTTGGTGCATATATATTCATGATTGTAATATCTTCTTGGTTAATTGTTTCTTTGATCAGAATGAAGTGACCCTCCTTATCTCTTTGGATTAGTTTTAGTTTGAAGTCTATTTTGTCAGATAATTAGAATTGCAACCCCTGCTTGTTTCTTAGTGCCATTTGCTTGAAGGATTCTTTTCCATCCTTTCACCTTAAGGTAGTGTCTGTCCTTGAAGGTGAGCAAGGTTTCTTGCAGAGAACAAATAGATGGATTTTGTTTCTTAATCCATTCAACTAGCTTGTGTCTTTTGACTGGGGAGTTCATCCCATTGATATTTAAAGTCATAATTGAAAGGTGTGTATTGGTTGCCAACATTTTGATTACTGTTTGCATTCTTTGTCTAATTTTTTGTTTCCACAATTATATCTTCAGTTAGTTTCTTTCTGTTGCCTCTGGGGTATATTGTTCCTTTCTCCATTCTTTGTATTGCTTCAAGTATTCTTTGAAGGGCAGGTTTTGTGGACATGTATTCTTTCAGCCTATTTGTGTTGTGGAAGATTTTTCTTTCCCTCTCAACTATAATAGACATTTTTGCTGGGTATAGCGTTCTGGGCTGGCATCTATGATCATTTAGAACTGAAAATACATTGGTCCAGGCTCTTTTGGTTTTCATAGTTTGCATTGATAAGTCAGCTGTAATTTGGATGCCTTGTGAGTTGTTGCTTTTCTTTTGCAGCTTTCAGTATTCTCTCTTTGTTCTTTACATTTAGTGCTTTTACTAGGATATGCCATGGGGGGGGGTTCTTTTCTGGTCCTGTCTATTTGGTGTTCTATATGCGTCTTGTATTTGTATGGGAATGTCTTTCCTTAATTTCGGGAAGTTCTCATCTACAATCCTGTTTAAGATCTGGTCAATAGCATCAACCTGAGATTCTCTCTACTCTATGCTTATGAAACATAGATTTGGTTTTTCCATGGTGTCCCACATCTCCTGTATATTCCATTCTTGTGTTTCTTAAAATTTGTGTTCTAATCTTCGCTTGAGCAGTCCAGTTCTTCTTTATCCTCCAGTGTTGATATTCTGTTTTCCATTTCATTCATTCTAGCAGTGAGGCTTTCTCCTGTTGTTTCAAGTTGCTTATTGAGTTTTCCTTCTTCATTTCAGCCTGAGTTTCCTTCAGTGTTTCTATCTCTTTTGTGTTCGGTCAGAAGTTTATCCCTATCTTCTTTGAGCTCTTTGAGTTGTTTATTTCTGTGTTCTTTAAATTTGTTGAATTCCTTGATCATGTTTATGATTGTTCTTTTAAATTCAGTGTCCTGGGTTATCTCTAGGGGGATCTCCTGGCAGAACTCTTCTACAGGACTGGTGGAGTTTGGTGGAAACATCCTGTTTTGGTTTTCCCTGTTCTATTTTTCTGTTGTGATTTTGGAATGTGGATTTCTTTTGTTGTTTGTGATTCTGTTCTGAAACTCAAAACTTCCTTTGTTGAGTTGAAGTCCACTTCTGTTTGTATTATTGGTGTGACTTGGTTGTTTTCTTATTGGGTATGTAAAATTGCTTGGTCAAAGTTTCAGGTTCTCTCAGATTTTATTTTGGAGGGAACTGATGGCTTCATATAAGCTACTCAGGAGCTCTCACAGAGGCAAGTCAGGCTCCAGTCAGGTACACTCAGGCTTCCTTCTAACATTTAGAACCCTACTAACGGGTACTCAGAGCACAATTTGGGAAGTTAGCTAAGGAGAGGCCCAATTTTGGCACTCTCAGGCAGTCTATGTAGGTCTCAGCCCCTATACCTGGCAGAGGCCAGATCCAGCACTCTCAGGCTGTCTGCTGAGTTCTCAGCCGTACCATAGGGGAGGTAATATCCCTGGGGCTGTCTGAGGGGCCTTGTGTAATCCCAGTTAGGGTTGGGTATGGCACGATTTGGAGGCTATGTCTAGGCACTGTCAGGTGGTCTGCTGAGATCTCAGTCTCTACACCTAGTGGAAGCTAGATCAGGCACTCTCAGGCTATCTGCTGAGTTTGCCAAGGTTCCAGTCTTCTTAACTTCCCTCACAGACAGCAGAGTGTAACAATGTGCAAACTGAAAATGGACTAGGAAAGAAACACCCACGGAAACATTTCTGAAAAGCTTGCAGAGCAAATCAATGTGATATGGAGTCCAGAATCCATTTCCTGCTGTACATTTCTACTGGGCAGCCCTGGTGGGTGGAAGTGTACTATGCTCACCTGGAGAACACTGAGGGTTTTAAGAAATGCATTTGGTGCTGGGCCTTTTCACTTCATTGCTCTTTGGATATAAAGATGTCTCTAAGCCTTGATTTCCATACACAATTTAAATGTATCTTAAGCTAAACATCCATATCATATGGCTTTATCTTTCTAATACCTGATAATTTCAGAAGAGAGCAAGGAATATATCTTCCAGATTTTATCCTGATGTATTTGATTATCAGTCTTGGGGAATATCACGGAGAACATGAATAGCACTTGTGAGTTCCATTCTTAGCATTGTGAAGCTTGCTAGAAAGCTCGAGTTGAGTTAGACACAAGAGGGATGTGGACAAGGATTTGACAAGAGTTGGTTCATTAGAATTCTGGGAATGGGTAAAGGGGACATTTAAAATAATGAGGCCAGTGTGACGACTCAGTGGGAAAGATGCTCGCTGCTGAGCCTGACAACCTCAACCTGAGTTTGATTCCTAAGACTCACGTGGTAGGAGAGAACTGACTTCTGCAAGTCAGTTGTTCTGACCGTCACATGCATACTATATGCTGATATGCACGCATGCAAACACGCACACACAGTCACACACAGACATACATAGACATAGATATACACACGTGTAAATGTAAAAATATAAATTGTGATATTTAAGACAATCTTAGTAAATCTAGTAAATATTATTACAGGAATGCTTTGGATTATGAAAGTGTTTTTCTTTCACAATAATGCTATGAGGTCTAGAGTATTTTAAAAGTTTCTTGTCTGAACTGGCAGTTTTGAAGTCATAAAATGCTGACTAAATTTTCTATGTTCTTCTGGTTCTTCTGCATATTTACAAATTCTTTAATAAAACAAACATTGAATCAGCTATGAAATGTGTTACCAGATGTTTGCATAAAAAGAATACTACTGTCATTTTCTTCTTCAGTGACTTCATAAATTGTCAATGCAAAACACTCTGGTTTTGAAAATCTTTCAGAATTTCCTAACATATAATGTCCATAATCACATTCCCCACCTCTTTGTGCCCCAGCCTCCCGCTGAGCCCTGTTCTTCTTGCTAACAAGTCCCCTCCTGTTTTTATGACTTTTGTTGGTGACCCTCTGCATTTCATTAGGGTTGCTTGCATGAGCATGGGAGGTGGTTGGTTTACTTGGGCAAGGGCAATTTACAAGTGGCTATGCCCCTGACGAATGATTCCCATCCCCCAGCAACTGTTCAAAACCTATAGCTCCTCCGTGATAGGTGGGCCTTATGAGCCCTTCCCCCATCTGTGATGGTTAAAACACAATTTTAACCAACTTCATTCAGTACCCTAAGTGAGGAAAGCATATGGTACTATAAAAATAGACTTAGGAGGCAGACATGAACACGCAACCATAACATTGGAAACTGTGACTATACAAGTCTCAGGCTTTAAAATGAAGCCTTTATTATGTAACCATGCTGAGACCAGCAGATCAGAGATGATGCTTTTGAGTAGACAGTTTGTTACTCATGCTTTCCAGGAAGGCAGGGCGCTCTGTCTTTGGCAGAGGCCACATGATGAGGCACAGTCTTTAGGGAGATGATCAAAGAGAACAAGTGGTCAAGAGATCTCACTGTGGTTTCTGTGAGACCCCACATGGCATCCTAGGTGGGTTTAAGGTTGTCTCATTTGAATGACTGCAGCAGGTTGTGAAGTATAGCGATGGTCGACAGTTGTCTTCCTGTTCTGGGGTGAGTAAGGCTGTTGGGTAGTAGTGCTGAGTGTGAGCCAGGAGCGACCTACAGAGCAGGCTCCACACCCAGCAGCTCGCCTTTGGAAGGCACAGCTGAAGGCAAGTCCTTTGGTACCTTTAGGAATCATATTGCAACAAGAAGGGTGGTCATTCCAGGCTTAGCAAGGCCCTAAGATGCCAAAGGATAAGAAATACATCAAAGAAGGCGTATTGATACAGCAGATGATGTAATGAGTATAGGGAGTAGGTAGTGGGTAGAAGGTGGAACCAAGGAAGATGGTGCCAAACCTTCCTCTGTGCATGCGGAAGAAGGTTCTGAGTAATAAATGCAGTGAACAGAGTAGCAGGGTAGATCTGTTACTTGTCTGTCACTGTGATAAAACACTGTGACCAAAAGAAACATATGAAGAGTTCATTTTGGTTATTGTTCCAGAGGAATAACAGTCCATCTTGGCAGCTGAGAGCTCACATCTTAAACTGCAAATCTAAAGGAAAGCAGAAGTGGGATGAGACTCTGAGCTTTCAAACCTGTCCCCAGGGGCACACTTCTCCCTGCAAGGCCACAGGTTGCTTCCACGACCTTCTCCAATGGCACCACCAACCAGGGACCGTGTGCTCAGATGCCTGAGCCTCTGGGGGACAGGCCTCTTCCAGACTACCACACATGGAAATAGATGAATTAAAGAACTGATAGATATTTGGATTTTATCCTGAAGACAATGAAGAGTCATTGAAAATTTTAAGCAGGGGAGAGACGCAATCGTGTTTTCATTTTAGAGACTTCATTTTGTCAGTAGCGTAGGGGCAGGATTACTGGTGCAGAAATTGGGGAAGTAGAGAACATCTACAACACAATTCTAACAACCAAGTTGAAAACTTAGAGATGGGTAGTAACAGGAGTAGAAATGAGGGAGAACTTTAAAAATTACTGATGAGATTGAATTTGAAGGACTTAGGAAGTGTTGGTTTCTTTCCTTCAGTGAACAAATGACTTGGATGCCATCTAGATGTCAGTTGTTGGTCTTGTTACAGAAGATGCATAGATCATGTTGTGTAAAGAGTGTGAGATGTGATGGAGGATAATGTCAGTCACTAAAGAAGCGAAAACATGAATGGGAATATATTATTGAGGGAAGATGATGAATTTATCTTCATTTTGAATAATTTGAGGGCCTTGTAGAATATCAAGGTGTGGAGAAGCACAGAGAATGGATCACAGATACGTGAAGTTTATATCGTTGCAATCCAGACTTTATTCAGAATTCAACACTTACATATACATTTTCTTGTGTGTGTTACGTGTGTGTGTATGTATATGTGTATGAATGCATGTGAGTGTGTATATGTGTATGGATATACATAGATGTATGTGTGTGCATATCTGAGTGTGTGAGTATGTGCATTCTACAATAGTCTCATATTAGTAATCTTTGTAGTGTCTTCTTTTAAAACACTAAGCTTTGGGGGCTGGAACGATGGCTTAGCGGTTAAGAACACTGACTGCTCTTGCAGAGGACCCAGGTTTGATTCCCAGCACCCAGATGGCAGCTACAAACCATCCTTAACTCCAGTTCCAGAGGAATCTGAAACTCTCTTTTGACCTCCGCGGCATTGCACGATATGGGTGCACTCACATACATGCAGACAATACTCTCATACACATACAATAAAAATAATAAATAAAATAAAATAAAAAACAGAAAGAGCCACTAAGCTTTGTACTAGCCTCAACCTTCTGATAGTAGATATCAATAAATATCAAAAATTGCATAGAATTCTATTTCATTATGAAAATTATTTCTGTCTTTCAGTGTGATTATTTGGGATCCGATAGCAGGATATTAACCAATAAAATCATTGAAATAATCAGTCTTGTAAATTCAGTAAGTATTTTCTTTTTTATCAGATTAAAAAAAAATTATTTATTATTTTTATTTTATGTGTATGCATGTATTGCATAAGGTAAGTGCACCTGTGTTCGTGGAGGTCAGAAGAGGCTGTCAGATCCCCTGGTGCTGGATTTAGCTGCCATGTGGGTGCTGGGATTCAAACCCAGGTCTTCTGCAAGATCAACCAGTATTCTTAACTGCTGAGCCATCTCTCCAGCCCCTTATCAGATTTTTTGGTCTTGAAATTATCCTTTGTAGTAACTTGATGTTTTCTTTCTGAACAATTAAGTTGTCTATATAAACTGAATGTAGATTTGTGAAAACCTTGAAATATTTTCCAAAGTATTATAAGATAAGGAAGATTAATTTTGCCCAAGTCCATTTCTTCTATTTTTAGATGTTTTCCCAACTCAAGGTTACTATTGTGCTGTCCTCACTGGAGCTGTGGTCAGATGAAAATAAAATTTCTACAGCTGGTGAGCCAGACGACTTATTGCGCAGATTTCTGGAATGGAGAAAGGGTTTTCTCACCCTAAGGCCTCATGATATTGCCTATTTATTCAAGTAAGCATGCATAGCATTCTTATAACAAGAACAGAAGATTTGTGATGTAGCTTAATTGAGGGGGCTGGTACTCATTCCTGATGACTCACTATGTGTTTATTTAAGCCTTGTGCTTTCCAGCTGCCAAACAATGAAAAAAGATGATTAACATTTGTCTCTAAATTTATTAACTTTTTAGAAATGAACAGATTGAGCTCAGGTGTGGTTGTATATGCCTTTAATCTCAACACTGGGGAGGCAGAGGCAAGTTGATCTCTGTGAGTTCAAGGTCAGCCTGGTCTATGTAATGAGTTCCAGGCCACCTGGGGCTACAGGGAGATGCTGTCTAAAAAAATAAAAGAAAAAAGAAAGAAAGAAAGAAAGAAAGAAAGAAAGAAAGAAAGAAAGAAAGAAAGAAAGAAAGAGATTGAGATCTCAAAACTTAAGACTTACATCTTAGGACTTTTAAAAAATTTTATTGAAATTTTTGTGTATTTCATTTGGAATATCTCAAACAATCTTAATCATTTTTATACCCCCATCTCCACTGGCACCCTCCCATAGACCCCCCCCCCGCCACTGGAGCCCATATACTATATCATCCTGGTTAAGGCCCACTGTGTTGTCAGTACCCCAAGCCATTCCCCAGTACAAGTCCATCCACTGAGTCTAGTCAGCCTATCTAGCATTCCTTGTTTTAGGAAGGTCACCTTTTCTTCATCTAACAGCAATCAGTTGCCCAAATTCCTTCAGATAAAATTGGAGTCTGCTGTTCATTTTCCCAGTTCTGTGCTGGGTTACTGTCTGCCTGAGTTGCATGGGATTTGTGTGTGCTGACACCATTGCCATAGACTCATATGAGCAGGTTCCAGGAGCTTGTAGGACTCTGTTTCCATATGGTCATGCACCTCCTCCCTGGCTGTTAGAGTCTTTCTGTCCTCTTTTCCGAGATGGTCCCTGAGCCTTGGGTGGGTGAAGTTTAATAAAGCGATCCCATCCAAGGATTATCATTCAGCACTCTCTTGATCTCTACACTTTGACCATTTGTGACCTTTTGAGTTCCTGGCCCTCCACTGCATGAGGGAGCTTCATTATTGAACAGTGAAAAATTCTCAGCAAAATACTTGCAAACCACATACAGACACACATCAAAAAGATCATCCACCATGATCAAGTCGGCTTTATTTCAGAGATGCAGGGATGGTTCAATATACGTAAGTCAATAAATGTCATAAATCATATAAATGGGCTCAAAGACAAGAACAACTTTGTCATCTCAATAGATGCAGAGAAGGCCTTTGGCAAAATTCAATGTGCATTTATGTTCAAAGTCCTAGAGGGAATTGGACTGGAGGGAACATACTTCAACATAATTAAAGCTACATACAACAAACCCACAGCCAACATCATTCTAAATGGAGAAAAACTGGAAGCATTCCCATTGAAATCAGGAACCAGACAAGGCTGCCCACTATCCCTACTTCTCTTTAACATAGTGCTTGAAACTCTTGCAAGAGCAGTAAGACAAGGGAAGGAAATTAAAGGAGTAATAATTGGAAAAGTTCAAATTATCCACTGTTGCAGACAATATGGCATTATATCTAAGAGATGCCAAAAATTCCACTAGAAAACTCCTAGACATTATTAATAATTTCAGTAAAGACTGTAGCCTTTCTATATACCAATAACAAGCAACCAGAGAAAGAGTACATGGAAACTCCCTTTCACAATAGCTTCAAAAAATTTTTTGGAATAAACTGATGAACGACAAAGATCTCTAAGTGAAAAATTTAAATCCTTAAAGAAAGAGATTGAGAAGACATCAGAAGATGGAAGGAACTCCAATGCTCATGGATTGGAAGAATTAATATTGTGAAAATGACCATCCTACCAAAAGCAATTTAGAGATTCGATGCAATGCCAATCCAAATCCCCAAGACATTCTGCACAGAATTGGAAAAAAACATCCTAAGATTCATGTGGAAGCACAAAAGACCTTGGATAGCCAAAGCAACCCTGAGCACTAAGAGCAATGCCAGGGGGATTACTATACCAGATTTTAAGCTGTATTACAGAGCTATAGTCATAAAAACAATATGGTACTGGCACAAAA